TGAGATTTAATGCTATAACTAGTACTCAAACAGTATTTTTCACTTTATGTTTCTATGTGGGAGCAAACTGTTGAAATCTTTACTTAATGTATGCTAAAATGATCTTCTGTATATAAAGAGAATCGAAAATGAATCTTGATGTGAATGGAAGGGGAGAGGGAGTGGGAAAGGGGAGGATTGCGAGTGGGAGGGACGTTATGGGGGGGAAGCCATTGTAATCCATATTCTGTACTTTGGAAATTTATATTCATTAAATAAAAGTTAAAAAAAGAATCCTCCCTCTACCAGGTGCAGGGAGTGCAGCAGTTGCTAACCAGTCAGCAGGTGCAGTCTGAGCAAGAGCTGCAAGGTCAGCAGAGGGAGCTGGGGAAGCTCACAGAGCAGGTGCAGGGGCCATGGCAGAATTACCATGGAAATGGGGACCTAGAGTTGAGGGTTGCATTCCTGAGAGAGAGAGAGCTGCCCACTGTCAAGGCCACCTACACCCTCCCTCACCTCTTCCTCACACAGAGATGGACATGCTCAGCAACTGAGGCTGTCGGATGGGACACTGGCAAGGCTGAAAACAGGTAAGAAGCGGATGGCTGTGTGGAAGGAGAGGAGAGGCTAGGGGGTAAAAGCATCAAGGAAGTGACGGCAACGCTTGCGCTTGTCTGGGAAGTTGTTTCTCACTCACCTGTTCTGTACCATTTGGTAGGAAAGAGATCCAGTCATCCCAGGCAGCGGTGAGAAAGCTTCAGAGGCAGGTGGCAGTGGTTTCTAGGCAGAGTCAGGACCCCAGGCACCTGCTGACCGTGCTAGGTTGGGAACTGGATGAACTTCTGGGCTGCCCTTGGGACAGTAGCACAGTCAGTTTTTAGGAGAGGAGGAAATCTAGGGTCAGTCTCCTGAGGAGTAAGCAGGAGGTGACTAATGAAGTGGGGAAGCTGGTGGTGTTTTCTTTGCTCCAGGAACATACCCTGTTTAGCAGGGGCCAATCTTGTATCCATCTGTTTTCTAGAGAGCTTCCATGTGAGTCTTTTAGAGCTGCAGGCTTGGAGGATCACCCTCACTAAAAGGCAGACTCCACGCCACCTCCTCACAGCTGCAGACTGGGGTCCCTGGAAGAAACATGGAGTTGCCTCAAGAAGGAAGTAAAGGTTTTGTGAAAACAAGGCAGTAATTTAAGCTACTGAGAGACCCAGATTGTGTGGTTGAGAGTGGGGGCTACTAGCTTTCAGAATAGACAGCCTTGAGGAGTCCCTTCTCCCTACCATCAGCATCACTGGAGCTACAGCCGCTCCAGCTGCAGTGGGAGTGACAACAGAGTCAGGACTTGATTGCCCAGCAGAACTGTTGCATCTGGCTGAGGGTGTGGATGGGGCTTCTCCAGATCAGGGCAGGAGGCAGGGATCGTGGCTGGGAGGGTCGGCCTTGTGCATGAGCAGCTAAGCGCTGATGAGATGCTGCCAATACCCCTCCCTGCCACCATCAAGGGGTCGTACTTCCTGGAGGCCCAGGCCCTGGAGTAAGCTCATGTGAATGAAGAGCAAACTTCACTGAAGCTGCCATCCTCCATGTGGAGGAGGTCAGCGCAGGGGGGCTCCTGCTGGGGTCTCAGGGGTTCAGATGCCCCAGATCCTCGATGGCTCTTTTGTCTCCTCCTTGGTGCCCACATTTTGAGCTTGGTGGATTCTTTGTCAGAAGAAGCAGCTGCTAGAATTCTTCCCAAAGATTCTAAAGGCCTGTCTTGATGCCCCAAGACCCCAGAGAAGATATCCTTGTTCCCACTATCGCTCCTGGGAAGCATCTCCAGATATTGGATACCTAATCTTCTGGTTGAATCCTTTTGACCGAAGCTCTTTTCTGCTGTTTTTCTTGGCCCACCAATGTCTTAAAAAAATTGAGAAAGGGACCCTGGGTCTTGGGGTCCTGTTTCCTGTTCTGTCTCTGGGTTCAGCCAAAGCCCAGGCAAGTGCCCTTGTTGTTATGCTGGAGGGAGCTACTCACTTCCTTGTCTTCCAGGGATAAGGTAAGGATGAAGTCAGCTGTGGGATCGGGTTCCGTGGGCAGAGCTAGGAGCTGGCTGTGTATTTCACCCCTCCTCCCTCCTCCCTCCCATCCCATCCCCTTACTCAGGCTGCTGCACACTTGAAGGAAATGATCCCAACTTGGTCACTTGCCTTGCTAGAGGGCTTCTTAGATACTTTATTTAACAAGTCCCTTACTGCTTTCTGCTTTTGTACTTGAGAGGTAAAAAGGATGGGGGTAGTAAGGGGCTAGTTTTTATTTATTTTCAGTGTTGGAGAAAGACTTATTTTAATCTTTCTGGCTATTAAAAAGAGAATAAACCTTCTGCATAGTTATTTGCATTAAGGCTTTGGTATATTGTTTTTTTATTTAATTAATTAATTAATTAATTTGAAAGGCAGAGTTACAGAGAGGGAGAGGCCGAGTGAGAGAGAGAGATGCTCTGTCTGCTGGTTCACTCCCTAAATCGGGCAATAGCTAGGGCTGGGCCAGGCTGAGACCAGGCTCATCTGGATCTGCCATCTGGGAGGAAGGGGACCAATCACTTGGATCATCTTGTGCTGCCCCTCCCAGGTGCATTAGCAGGGAGCTAGATTAGAAAAGGAGCAGCAAGGCCTTGAACAGGCACTCTATGGGATGCCTGTTGTGCAGGTGGTGATTTATCCTCTGTACTACAACGCTGGTTCAGATGTGTTCGTTTTGAGGATAAGTTATGGGGAAAAAATTGTGGCTAGAGGATTAAAGATGAGGCATGAAGGGCCTTCATCCTTTTGAAAGATGAAAATAAAATATATTGAGGAAAGACTGAATAATAGTGGATACAATTCATGGACTCTCCTCATGACTCCAACAAAATTTTACTACTTTTCCCACCCTTTTATAACTTTATCCTGATGGAAGTTCAGAGGAGAGAATTAACATTCCACAGAAGAAAGGGGACCCTTTCAGTTATGGAGAGGGGTGAGACAGGATGAAGGACATGGATGAGTTAGCATGGATTTAGGAGTCACCAATGCCATCAAGTTTTCACACATGAAGATAGAAATGGGGGTAGGGGTGGGAGCAAGCAGCAGTTTTTAATAGCTAAGGATGGGCCAGAGCCAACATTTTCTGAATGGTCTCTTCTACCTTCCAGGCGTAGTTCTTAACAGACAACCAGTTATCTTTGTTCATAGAATGAGATCTGTGATTGAAGCTGAGACACTCAATCCAGAACCTTTTCAGAACCTGAAAAGTCAGAACTTTTTGTACTTCTAGTTTTGTTTTCTTTTGTTGAGTGCTCTTTCCTTTCTTCTTCTGCCATTCCCCTTCCACCCTAGGGAATTCTGTTGTGTTGGCTTTGTTCTTTTTCTTTTTTCTTTCTTTCTTTTTTATTTTTTAAGAGAGCTACAGAGGAGGAAACCTTCCATCTGCTGGTTCACTCCCCCAGATGGCCACAATGGCCAGGGCTGGGGCCAGGCAGAAACCAAAAGATAGGAGCTTTTTCCAGGTCTCCCATGTGGGTGGCAGGGGCCCAAATACTTGGAACATATTCTGCTGTTTTCCCCAGGCCATTAGCAGGGGGCTAGATTGGAAGAGGAGCAGCCGGGACAAGAACTGGTGCCCATAAGGGATGCCAGTGTTGCAGGCAGGAGCTTTACTTGCTGTACTGCAACACTGGTCCTGGCTTTGTTCTTGAAGTACTACTTCTCCTGATTCTTTCCTTCAAGCTAGGAAAGGGCAAAGAACTAGAATTCTGTACTTGCTTGTCATTTTTGTGAGTAACACTGATAGAACAAGTTATGTGCCTAGTTACTCAAGGAAGTGATTCTTTAGTTTTGATACCATCTGAAGAAGGGGAGAGGAATGAGGTTGGAGATCAGGGAAAAGCTAAACTCAAAGAGTGCTTTTCAGGTATCATCTACATAACTATCCCTGTATTTCAATCATTTCCATGGGCAAGGATTACATCTTTGGGTATACCAAGACTTTTCTCCCTGCCAAGGAAAATTCAGGAGGAGGGAAGGACTATTTTAATAATTTTAGTAGTTCCAGGGTAGGCATTTGGAGCAGAGGTTAAGATGCCACTTGGGACACCCATATTGCATAAGAGTGCCTGGATTCAAGTCCTGGCTCTGTTTCCAATTTCAGCATTCTGCTAATGTACACCTTGGGATGCAGCAGGTGATAGCTCGAGTCCTTGGGTCCCTGTTACTCAGGAGCGAGACTAGGGTTGAGTTCCTGTCTCCAAGTCTGGCCCATGCCCAGCTATTATGGGTATTTGAACAAGAAGGTTAGAATATCTCTCCTATCTCTATTATTAAAAAGATTTATTTATTTATTTATTTGAAAGAGAGGGACCCACAGACATCTTCCAACTTCTGGTTCACTGCTCAAATGACTGCAACAGCCAAGGCTGGGCCAGTCTGAAGCCAGGAGTCAGGAGTCATATTTGGTATTCATACATGGGTGCAGGGGGCCAAGCACCTGTGTTATCTTATGCTGCTTATCCCAGCTGCATTAGCAGGAGGTGGATTAGAAGTGGAGAAGCCAGGTCTCAGAATTGCAGGTGATAGCTTAACTCATTGTGCCACAATGCTTGCTCCTTTTCTCTTCTCTCTCTCTCTGCCATTAGAATTTTGAAAATTGCTAACGTACCATTTGGTGGAACGCAGGTGGAAGCTGAATAAGAGGCTCTGTATGAACACACCAGGTAACCTTCACAAGAGCTACAGAAGCCAGGTGAGAGACCATAGTGCCTAGTCTTATAATCATAAGAAAAGTTACATTGAAGAAAGCAAGAAGGAAATGGTTTCCTGTATCAACCCTTCCCCAGCTCCAAGGAGCATGGCATGGAGAAACACCTCTCATGTGGGAGATGGAGAGTGAACTGAATCTCAGTGCCATGCCCACTGAGAAAAGATTCAGTTGGACTGAGTTGTGCCTCTGCCCTGGCCCCTAGTCCCATACTGGTCGAGTGAGTATTTGGCACTTCCAGAGCCTGGGGGCTTCTGTGACCTTCCTACAGCTGCTGGCAGAAAATAAAACTCCAGGTGCATGGAAAACCAGGAGAGGGAGCATAGAACTGTGCCCTGGAGTTCAGAGCCCAGCCTAGTGGACTGAGACCTGACAATGCTCAAAGGCTCTATTCCCTGTTCAGTACTCACAAACTGGGCCTCTAGACTTATCCAGCATCAGGTAGAGACCTGAGCTCTGGGATCAGAGGATGGGGTGTGTGTGTGTGTGTGTGTATAGGGGATTCATTTGGGCTGTGTTGCTGCTGGCTTAATGGGATTTGGAGTCCCATGGCAAGTTTTAAACTGTACCCTTAGAAGTAAGTCTGTAGGAATGTATGCAGAGCCATACAGCTTTTCAGTTACAAACTTCCTCTTCTCTTTCTTATTGCCACTCTTATTTTTTACTGAGATCTATTTCCAATTGACTTTATAAACATATGATTAACTCTGTTAAAGAGTTCAACAAGTAGTATGAATAAAAAAATGAAAAAGCAAAAAAAGAAACTGTTCCTCGACAGTCAAGACAAGGGCAGCTCTACACATCCCTTCTTGAAGTGTCAATTTTACTTCCACAGATTTCGTTTAGGTGCTCTATTAGTTATCACAGATCAGGGAGAACATATGGTATTAGTCCTTTTGGGACTAACTTATTCACTAAGTATGATTCTTCCAGATTCATCTATTTTGTTGCAAATGACTGAATTTCATTTTTTTTTTATCACTGTGTAGTATTCCATAGTGTACATATCCCACAATTTCTTTTATCCAGTCTTCAATTGATGGACATTTGGGTTGATTCCATATCTTAATTATTGTGAATTGAGCTGCAATAAACATGGGAGTACAAATAACTCTTTTGTTTACATCCCATTCACATCAAGATTCATTTTCAATTATCTTTATATACAGAAGATCAATTTAGTATATACTAAGTAAAGATTTCAACAGTTTGCGCCCACACAGAAACACAAAGTGAAAAATACTGTTTCAGTACTAGTTATAGCATTACTTCACATTGGACAACACATTAAGGACAGAGATCCTACATGAGGAGTAAGTACACAGTGACTACTGTTGTTGATTTAACAAATTGA